CAAGATAATGATCTTCTCTCCATTTCATAAAGAATGTGGAGGGAGAAGCCCATTTCATAAAGAATGTGGAGGGAGAAGCCCAAAAAGTGCTACCTTTGAAACAATGAGAATGCTTATGGGCAAGGAAGGGTAGAGTTGGATCCAGAGTTAACAAGAAAAGTTGGTTTTGTTTAGGAAACAGGAGCACAAGAACATATCTAGACTATAACCATGGAAACTCTGACTAAACATGACAAAATCTAAGAAAAACACCACAAAAGCACGTAAAAAGCACACCCGCATAACGTCGAGCTCTCTATATATTATATATTGTATTGTTAGTCTTTTTTTTGTGTAATATATTGTGCGCGTGCGCAGGTAATTACTATTAGTATATACATGTATAACAAGAACTCCCCAAAAACGGGCTCCTTGGAATCCTCCAGCTCGGGGAAGGCCCTCCGGTGGAACATCATCGACTCGTTGGCGATGTCGGTGAAGCTCAAGGCCTGTGGGGACCGCCACGTCGTCAAACCGGGGTCCACGGTCCATCCATGTCCATGTCCACATACACCCGTCTACGGCCAAAACCTGCAGGAGGGTGAATCAAAAGGAACTAAGTCAAAAGGTCTGAGGAGATCTCTTTTTCTTCACCCTTTCGACCTGGTTCCTTTCGCGATTCGCGGCACATGGTGGGCTGAATGAATGCCGGGCTCCAGGTGCCATGACCCATTCGCTGAAATATTTAAGACGTAGATAATAAGGCTATAGATAATATTATATATAATAGGCAGAAGATAATATGGCTAGAGATCATATGCCTTATCTATATGCCTTTATCTATATGGGAGAATAAGGATTCTCCCAACAACGACTTGGCCTCGCCCAGTCGCCCAGTGCGTCGTGGAGAGTCAAGCCATACTTGGCCAGAGTTCTCCGACTGGGACGTCTTCAGAGTCTTCAACCGCCCAGTGGCTTTTTCATGAGACCCAAACGTTGTAGCAGAACTTCTGGTATTCTAAGACCGACCTCCAAATAGATAGTGGTTGGAGGAGGTTGGTTGGTGGTTGGTTGGTTGGTGGTTGGTGGATGGTAAAAGTAGATCCAAAAAAATGTATTGGACACCGTGCCACTATCCATTTGGGGACCTCTCTCAGACTCATGGATGTGTTTCCCCGTGGCCTTTTGCTCTGAGGGGATGCCAGGAGCAGAAGTGATTTTGCAGCCAAACCATCAAAGCTGGGGCTGCATTCAAGTTTCATGTAGCAGAATAGGACAAACCTGAAACAGGAATCCCGTGAGACTGTTCATTCATCCACTATCATTATATATCATCACTATCATACATTGAGCTGTGAGAGAGAGAGAGACACTAAAATAGATGGTAAATGCTAGAACTCTTAAAGAGGTGCCTATATTCACAGCCCCCGCATTCTGGGGTCTTCGAATGACTTCAGATTCTCCATGCACCGGCACCGGCACGGCAGAAGTGCAGAAGCGCCTCGCAGGTGGAAGGTGTTCCGCAGAATGCACGATCGATGACCTGGTCGAAGGTCCAAAGACCGGTGGTGACGAAGGTTCCGGACGCAAATGTGATGTGGGCAACACTGCCCAGTGGTGGATGAAAACCATGGATGTCACATTCCTTGACGTGAATGTGGAACACAGAACACTGGACTTAAAGCTCAATGGCGGTGAGGGCCATTTGAGGGCATGGCCACGCTGGTTGGACTGCTTCTCATCTTGAAGAACCACCACCCACCCAAAGCCAGCAGAAAATAGGGAGCCTTCCGCGCCCAAGAAGACCCACCACCTCTTCCCGATTCCCAGTTTGGAGGCCTTCTTGTCCAAGCCAATGCATTGGAAAATCTGCGCCCCTCGATAGGACTCCAAGACTGTGATGCCCATCTTGGACATGATCTTCTTCAGCCCAGCATTCACGGCATCCTACCAGCGCAACGTCGTGCAACGTCATGCATTCATGGCTGGCAGCTGACCCCAACATGTAGAAGATAGGAGAGCCCCCTGCGAATGGTCATCACTGGGCTACTCAAACGACCAATTTTCATGCCATTTTGCCGCAGAATTCGATGTTGGCATCCACTGGTCACCCAAGAGAGCCAAATGGAACCCGATGCGAAGGAGTCACCCGATGATTTTCACACGTTTTGCCGAGGATCCTTGTAGTTCCGCTGCACCTCCTCCACCGTCCTTGGATCGACCCCATGGTGAGCTGCAGGTGCCTGAAAATCCCTGTTTATCAAGGTTCACCGTCTGGAAGTTGCTCTACACATTCCCCCTCTTGATGGTGCAGCTGGTGCAGGTCACTTATATATATCCTGTGATCATCTCAAGGATGGTGAGAATACAACTACAGGTGCCGGGCCTGGTGCCAGTAAAATCAAGCATCAGGCAGCCACAAGACGCACCAACAAAAACATTGTTCTTCACCACCCACCTCACCATCCCTCACCATCCTCCCCCTTTCTGCCCTGCTCATCTGAGGATCTGCCCATCTGCCTTGGCAGCACCCTTGTCAGTGGCATGCCACTTGCGGATGTGCGCCAGCGCCAGGTAGGGGCACACAGCACTGGCGCCGTAGCCGATGAGGCAGGCGAAGTGATGAGTGCTCCAGCACTGGCCGGTACTCACCTCAGGAAGGACTGGCCACTGAAGTGCCACGAAGGACTGGTCACCTGGGAGGTTCCCTGGTCTTCAGGGATGTGGCACCACCCACATGGATGCAATCAAATCCATCCATGGCCGGGACTAAATGTTGGTGGAGTAGTTAGGGAGGACGTTCTGAATGCCCATCCTTTAAAGCTTTGGTGAGACCAAAAATATTCGGGCACGCAAAAAGGTCTACTGCAGAGCCAGATTGTGAAATTTCTACATTCATGGCAACTTTAGACAGCTCACAGGCAATCATCATGTCATTGCAACACGGCTATAGTTAAACCATGTTTAAACCCGTGATCATTCACCAACAGTTCAAGCGTAGTGACAAATTACGCCCTCAACAGTAATATATCCTTACCAGTAACAGGATGATGATGGTTAGTTAGTAAATGCCTCTCAAAAATAGTCACAATCTTTTACCGACTGTTACTGGTAAGTGGCTACACCCTAGTTATATCATGATTCATCTCTTCCGGCGCGGGCGGTTTTTCTGCACAGCACAGCTCCACCCAATCCGCCAAGGGGCCACCAAAGAAGCTTGAGTCCTGAAGGCTTGGAGAATTCTGTTTCCTTACACATCTTACACATCAAAATACACATCAACATCTGCTAAACGTCCATCTTTACCCTGAATTGTCATGAACCCGAAGAATCCTTCACCTGTCCATGGCAGGGTCGGACCCGACACAGAAACGCAGGGGTCCGGGGCCTCAACGCGATATATCTGTTGGTTCGGGCCCGGATTCTTCGGGAAGTATAAAAATACGTCAACTCACCTGCTCAGACAGGCCGCCACCTCCTCCCTCCCATCCATCAGATCGCCCTCCATCCCTCCCCGACCCGCCTCAAGCCCTGCTGGATGAGGTAGTGATGGATGGCACCCACCGCCAAGAGTGGTGGAATCGCTAAGACGGAACGCTCCAGGCCGATGTCCTGACAAGCGGTGCACGAAGTACACATCCTGATGAGAATCTGTTGGCTGAGTGGTTCCTGTTCAAAAGTTCGAAGTCAACCAGAACCAATTATCGTCGCACCAACACTCAATGAATGTCAAGACAACTTTAAGGATATAATGAAGACACTTAATAGCAAAGGAAGAGGAATTAACTTGAATGAACAAAAACCTTTCTTGGCTGAGGGTCAGGATCAGGATCTTCCACATCGAAGTTGCTCAAGAAATCTGAGTTCCGCGGCCTCGGGTGTCCATTTTCTCGAAGACCGTAGACCGTGACTCGTGTACAGCTTGGGTATGGAAGAAGCCCAGGGGCGCTTTTGAGCCAAATGTTCTGGGAGCAGGACATTGCTCTCCAAACGCTCGGACTCTACCTCTTCTACCCTGCAACCCTTGCCGCCCGTGGACACATCGGAGATGATGATGAGCTCCGCCCCGTTGCGGATGGCGTTGGAGGCCTCGTAGCCTTGGCGCCGCGTCTTTATGCTCGGAGGCGATGAAAAACCGACAATGAACACATCCGTCCGCCATTGGTCCTACATCCCGGCAGGTCCGACATGGGTTTGTCCGGTGGTTTTTGCTATTCATTCAGATTCATGTATGGGGTGCTGATTGGTGTTCAAAGTCTGGTGTCCTGTCTCTTTTGCGAACCCGAATGCATGACGTGAACTTCTGGAAGTCGCCAAAGGAACCGGTTCTCGCGTCGTTGGCAACAACCAAGGACCAAGCGGCCTAGCGCAGCCAAGGAGCAAATGTCTGAGACGGCTTTTTCTAATGCACCTGGACCTTTGCTGTGGTCATAGCGCGTGCTCAGCTGGACGGTCAGAAGGCCACTGTTTTTGATGGCCTCAGAGGGAGGCTGGGAGGGGAGGCAAAGGACAGGAATCCTTTGGAAACTTGGCCAGTCAAAGTCGTCGAAGGAACTGGGAATTAGCAGATGTGACTTCGAGGGAGCAAGGCTTAATATGCACTCGATGCCACTTGCAAGGAAGCTAATGAACATGCGAGAATGGAGTTGGCATGGTCTGATGGTAAAGCTTCCGCAAGCGATCATCGGTCACGTGCCACCTTCCTACCTATCAGTATCTTCAAGCGGCTGGGTTCTCAGACTGAGTCCCTGACATAAAGCTGCCTCTCATTCAGAAACGGCGAGTCGATCTGGCCAGGGCGAGGCAAACAATAAACGCCGCAGAAAGGGCCTTCCAAAGTGGGACACATTCCCAGTACGACGTCTCCCTGGCACCAATTAAGATCATTCAGCCGCCCATCTGCGCAACGCGTAGTTTTTGGAAAGCCGTGGGCTGTGCAGTCCTTTGACTTTGGCCATTGGCCCTTTCACTTGACCACGACCCTCCTGGCCTTGACTAATCGATTGTTGGCCTTGTTCTGAAAGTAGGTCGGGCTCTCAGCCATCAAGTTGCCTTCAAGCACTCGCTGGACATCACTGGACTGTCAACATGCTATGATTTCTCGATCTTCGTGAATGAGGTCGCAACTATGAGTTTCACTCACATGTTTACTTATGGGTTCGTCCAGATTGTTTGCAAATTTGTTGGCGTCTGAGAAAAATCCTTCACCTTACTTACGTATTCTCAACTCTCCGCAACTCGAGTCAAGCAAGCGACCTCTCAGCTCCACTAGTCTTGGGGCGACGCCCACCTTGCCGGCCCAGATAAACGTTGATGGACATCACCAGAGATTCCCGATAAGGGTCGATGGCCGGATTGGTCACCTGCATGGGCTCCATCAGAGCCATGGGCTCCGACAGCACAACCGAGATGGTTTTCGGTCGAGGGTTTTTTGGGGAGGGTCGAAGGACCAACACCTCTCCAAAAACCGCTTAAAAGCGGCGGATTCTCGGCGATTCCGGGGCTCTTTGAGCCTCAAAAAACAAAGCGTTCAGGTTTCCTGTGTTCGATGAATTCAGTGATCAATTCAGAGCTCGAGTAGTCAGCCCCCATGCTCGGTTTCCTCTGAAACGCCTCCGTACTAGGGTGCTTGGGCCCGCCAGAGCGAAGGACCCCGAGAAATCGGACCGGACCCGATGTGCCGCGGTGACCCGATGTGCCGCCTGGGCGAATCGCTGGGTGAAATAGTCGTAGAGCACATGAGCCTGGCATCCACGGAGAAGACGCCGGGTTCGGCGCCAGGAACTGAAGAGAGTCATAGACTGATCATGTGGCATCCAGGGCATCCATGGGAATAGCAGAGAACACGGAAGGCCAACCTGCCAAATTTTGCCATCAAGGGATCATGATAGGGAATGCATGGGAATGCTATTTTCTGAAGGCTTCAGTTGGCACAAGGGAACACAGCGGTTCATAATTAATGGTTCATAGGGGCTCATTGGGGAAGAAAATGATCGCAAGATCCTTCAGAAGGCCTCATGTAGGATCTCAGGCTTCCTAGATCTTCTGAGGTCTAGATCTTTTCCAGGCTTGGAGGGTGAGACGACCTTTTCGACTTCCAGAGTTCAGCCGCGGCACGCGGTCCGAAAGCACCGCCAAGGGCTTGTCCTTGGCGCAGCGCCGCAGATGGGGCAAAGTGGTCCTACGATCACCTCCCCCAGGTGAATAGAAAAACCTGCCTCTTCATAATGGATTCATATGGGGGGTTATGAATCAAGAGCCTGCATTGCAGTGTTCTTCTTCTTCTTCTACAGCAGGTGCCCAAGGTGTGATGTGAGCCAACAACTGCACGAGAGGAAACGAGTCCCTTACCCTCTCGAAAAAAAAAAAAACACACACATTATCTATAGTAACTATAGATGCCAAGGGGGTGGTGGAGCTCAGCTCCTATACTCCAAAACGAAAAGGAAGACACCCGCTTCCGTCCCATCCAAGATGGTATCAATCAGCTTCCGGGTCGTTCAGACATGTTGTCCTCTCTTTTTCCTCACACCGGCGGCTCCAGGTCGCTCGGGACCCCAGGTTCGGAGGTTGGCGGATCCCCTGCGAGGTGCATTGCCCATACAGAAGGTGGGCTCTCTGCCCGTCTGTGCCATGGACTCCACCACCATCTCTACATCCTCCAGCTGCGAGAAAATGGACTTAGGTTGATCTTGGGATAATCTTCAATGCTCTTTCAAAAACACTGTTACTGTTCTCACGGCAGATCGTGTTGGTCTTTTCTTATTGGGTAGTTTATGGAAGCTTGGTCTTAATCATCACAAGAGGACACCAGGGCCCAGGGCCCACAACAAACATGGGGAGATGAGTGGATCGGGTGTAGACAGGACCCCATGGCAGAAGATACTTCCTCGATCGTGTAGCCCATGTCGAAAAGCAAGGTCATCAAGTTGTCTTCCATGGCCTGCAACAAACCGATTGGCACACGATCCGCAACATGATTGTCCTTATTCCATGCTTCAGACTGAGAAGAAGCAAACGCTGCGAGGACTTTCCACAAGAAGCGCATACACAGTGGCCAGCTTTTTGTGAGAATAAGCACGCCTTGGGCACCACTAAATCATGATCTTTGGACAAGAAGGGCTCCAAGTCCATCTCTTCCCTGAAGACCTGCTGCGAGGCTGGCTCTCCTACGACCGAAATTGTCCACAACAGAAAAAAGCATAGAGTCAGGCCCGGCCCCACAATCCACAACATGCATCAACATGACGTCCTTTGTTCAGAGATGCGCAAACGACTCAAACACATGGCCAATCAAGCCCCAATGAGCTGCCTTGTTCCAATCACCATAAGGCTTCTTGGAGGCCATCCTCGGAGCCGTTCACCTACCCTGGGTTGAGTCGGCTGGGCACCTTTGATTCACCAGCCATGCCAAGGGTGGTTGTTGGGACAACTGACAACCAACTAGTAACTATAGTGCCATCTTAGTAGTCCGTTCACATGGGTGCGCATTGGAATAGGGCGACAACCGAACGAAATGGAGGTGTTTAGGGTGTCTCTGTCTCCCATGTCTCCCTATTTTTTTAACGCGCCCACAATCGCCCACATCTAATCATACTGGCTGAGCTGCTTTTGCTTCACCGCCTCATTCTCGATCAGCTCACCTGGCAGGGCAAGGTCATTTCCTCGCGAACTGGGGGAATCAGTTGGTGAATCCATCAATGAACCACAGCCAATCCACCACCAGTCCACATTTTCCGATGTTGGCCAATGAATCATTCGCAATTTGCATCTGGTGGAAGCTACATTCATATATTTATATATATATATACAATATATAATCGTCATTATAGACACACAGGATAGCCAGTATAGTTCATTGTTCTATTTCAGACAAACGGACGTCTAAGATCTGTTTCAATCGATCTGGTTCTCCTTCTCCTGTTTCGACGTTTCCTCGCCTGTGTGCAGATCGATGGCGACCATCTTTCCCGGGCCCAAGCGCCCTTTGGATTTGAACATGTCCTCGGCGCTCCATGATGTCAGGGCGCGCTCGATGTCAGCGTGCACCACTGACTCGATTGTATTGCATCCGGATCCGGAAATCCCGGTTGGACCCCTTCTTCCTGGCTACAGTAAAACTGGACTTGGTCAACCAGGCCGGCGGCCTGTCCTTTTGCCCTATGAACACCGTAGTCTGGGATGAGGCCTGGCCCTGGGATCTGTTTTCGGTTGCATGCAAAGACCCAACTAAGAGCAATTGAACCGAGTGCTCCACCACGGAAGTAGTCTACTGCACTAATTCATGCCATTCAGCCATCCCATGGAATTGGCCGTCTGGTCTGCCTGGCATCTTCCCTTCTTCGCCAGGTCGCTGGTGGAAAAAGGTTCTTCTCCAATATGCCAGTTTCGGAGCTCACCACACAGGTGCCATCCTCAGCAGAACGATAGCTTTGTGATATCAAGGCCCGGCCCGAGTGGTCTCACTAGAACATTGGCCCTTCAGAACTGCCCAAGACATGCCCCAAATAGACAAACACTAGGTGGTCCAAGGTCGAAACCGGAGCCCCAGCTGTTTGAGGAAAGGCTGGGCCAAATGCCCAGAGGCCTGGGTGTGTGAACATCGGGAGACCCTCCCGGTTTCCAGTTCGACCCCCTTCAGGAAATATATAGAGCAGTCTACCCGGCTGGGAGGTACCAAACCCCCGTTTTTACTGGGCAGCATGTACCAACCCGCCGTCCAGTCAGGAATTCGCTGATGTATAGACTCTTGATTCAAAAGCCACCCCTTCAAAGGGGGAACTCCCCGGTGCTGAGTCTAGCTGTCTCACAGCTGTCCCACACACTGACCTTGACGGAATAGCGGCCTAATGCCGGTCGCACCGGCAATTGGGGGTGCAAAAAGTGATGACTTGTCCTGTGACCTGACTTCCTCAAGCCCCTCAGCAGCTCAGGCACGTGCAACTGAAAGTAGCGAGCAGGGCGAAGGCCGTTTCGGTCTAAGGTTGCACCTTAGATGCTTGAAGATGGGAGCCAGCTGGATCTATTTTCAGAAACCTGCAGGATGGCAAAGAAGAGTGGTAATCCGTAATCCTGTTTCAGTTGCACCTGTTCTGGCCACGCCCACCTGCACCTGCGTATGATGATGGCCTTTGAATACCGCCCACTAAATTACCTATCTACCAAATTGGATAAAATCATAGCACACCTTTACTTAACCACCTCTTAGTTGGGTGGAAAATGTATTGACGACCCCTGGGAACTGGGAAACCCAGGTGCCTTGTGAATCAAACATCCACGGCTCAACCAAAGCAATGACTGCTAAAGGGACTTGGAGAAGGGACCAAAACCAGCAATCCACTGATTGGGTAACCCATGATTGCAATCCTCTACGTGAGTCGATCCCGTTCACCGTCTATCCACCATCTGCTTCCTCGGACCCCTTCAAACTCCCAAATAGCCGAAATTCCTACATCCAGACCCACCACCATCCTACAACATGTGCGCATGGGTCGACAATCTTCGCAATCTTCCCCTCCAAAAAACCGGAGGCCCATGTGCACATGGCCCTGGGAATTCTCCAAAAAAACCAAGAGGCCCATGTACTCACCGTCGCAGAAGGCCACCAATGCGGGACCATCCCAGGCCTCCTGCAGAGCGCCCCAATACCTCGGGCGGGAGCCGAAGAATCGGCGACAGGCAGTCAAAACAAGGGCACTCACCATGTGCGTCAATAGAATTACATTATATATAAATACATATATATATATATATATTTTATAATATAAAATATATATATATATGTATATGATTATATGTTTATAACGTCTCTTTATTTAGTTAGGTGCAACACCAGGCTACTGGTTCTGCCAAACGGCAAGAATCATTTTAACACAAAGCCAGCCTAAGGCCTTGCCCACCACGGCACTCGTAGAAGTCTTTAACATCACCGGAGTCGTTGTCCTGCACCCAGGGTGCACGAAAGTCGCTCGCGCAGCGGAGCTCACGATCCGTTGTGAGCAGCATGGGTGGTGTGTGATGATCCCCAGCTGCAAGTGATCGAGTACTGTCCTTGTAGGCTTCTGGGATCATCATCATCAAAGCTTCAGGCAGCTCTCGGTTGCACCGAAGCATCAATTCCAAGTAACCTTGGATTTTGGGCTCCGATGGGAATAGATTACTCGAGGATGATGGGTATTTTATGGTGCTTGGAAGGTCACACATCGTACTGAATCAATCTTGACCCGCTTGCGGTGGGGCTGGGACATATCCGAGGGATACATTTAGATCCAAACCGCTGCCAGGTCTTTAGATTGGGTGCGCACCCCAAAAATCTTAGAAAAACCGTCGAATTCGTGCTGACCCTTGTTCGAATCTATGGGGACGGCCAAGCTCTTGATCAGCCGCAATCCGATCCACCCACCAAGTCCTAAAGCATACCTGCCACAACTCCATACTGCACAAATCAGACTTGGGCCATCCAAACCCACCTGCCATCCAAACCCGCCCCGTCCGGACTCTCTTCGGTCTCTCTCCGTCCGATTGGGTCGTTCTAGACGACCGCGACGAGTCGTTCACCGCTCCGAGTGGCAGTCCATATTTCCGGAGTCACTGTTCTCGGCGCGGCAGGGAGGCAGCACCTCGGGCTGGAGGCGAGTCGTTGCGTCACGAGCTGCGAAACGAAGCACCGAAGGAAGGTCACGGTCTGCGAAACGAAAACTGCATCCTTCTTGAAAGAGCCAGCATGGTTTAGCCAATGGATTCAGAAAATGCATTCGATATCAAATCATGTTGCAAACACTGAATCTCAAAATCAACGGTAGGGCCTTTCAAGCATGTCACACCTGACTCCTGCAAGATTGGAAGGCATGTCAACGACTTACAATTTTTTGCTCTGCTAGGTGGTGCACGTGGGTCCGTCCTCAACATGGGAAGTTTGAACTTGCACACTCAAAAGCATCCCGCGTAAGTTGAAACATAAGTCATAGCACATCTAGCTTAGCAATGACAACATAACACGTAACTACCTCGTAGTGGAAGTCCTCATCCTCTATTGAGAACCGGGCTCCAAACACCGCGGCTCTGCAGGCTCACCGGTATTGGCCCATGTTGTGAAGGCCAACTACTCCATTGGTCTTGTCATGTGTGGGTGTCATGCAACCCTTCGGCCTCCATTCGCCGTTCACGGCCGGCCTCGCGCATGCGATAGCCGAAGTTGGGATGTTCGAAGGAGCCCGAGCGCGCCCGGGTCCAATTGTAGTTGCCTGGGAGCAGCGACAAAAGCCACCTGGAGGAATTGGTTTCAAAAGGTTTCAAACCGTTAGTGTCCCAGGATGTTCGGATTAGAAATCCATCAACCGTTGGTTTTCTGGAGAATCCGTCGCCTCCTGCACGTGTTGCAGCAAACTCGTCCATGTTGCATGATTTGTCCTGCCACCTTTTACAACATCTTGGCCGCACCGCCTTGGCGCTTGGACAGTCGACCGACCATTTAATTGGCTTCCTCCAAAACCAAGTAGATGCTAAGCTGCCAAACGATTCCTTGTCCAACCAATTATAAATGGGCGAAGCAAGAGCCTTCCAAGAATGCAATATAGTTTGCCATCTCTTCCTCTTTAACAAATAAGTGCGACACTGCTCAACAAAAGCCCAACACCATTTTGCCCAACCGCACCTTGGATGGTGTTGATCTCTCCGTTGTGGCCCAAGTAACCTGGCCGGCCGTGGTGTACGATGACTATGGGCAATCGGCTTGATGGAACAAAAACTATTACTAAGGTACGAGACTGCTACAAGACTCTCAAAGGGGTTCAGGCAAACCTTCCAAACATGAATTGAATCTCCCGCAAAATGTCAGTGACTTCATGTTCTTGATGCAAACTCCCAAGAAGATGAGGTAGACTCTTGCCCATATGAAGAGGTGTTGCAACTCAAATGGAGGGTTCTTAATCAAAAGTCTACATGATATTCGCTCCCATTCTCTTGGACTCTTACCTCAAAGATCCTTAGGTGGTGACCCTGTGAGGCCCTTGCGACAGAAAGAAGTGACCCAGGTCGTTGCAGCAGGTTTCCCCTCCTGAGTCCCTGAGTTTCTTGGACCTTTTTCTCCCACAGTTTGCTTGTGCTGTTCTGCCACAGCTCCATGCAACACGGTACTTTTCCGGGGGTGGAACTCAAGCAACCTCCGAACATACGACGAACGCTGTGCAAGAGCTTAGAAGCAGGCGTCACTCAGATGGGTGTGCATTAGGGAGACCGAACCGCCGGCGTTCCGATCCCCCTGGGTTCGGTTCGGAGAATAGACCACTATACCGAGCCAGGGCCGTCCCCGGGGTCCCCCTATTAAAATACACACCCATATAATCCCATATATGCTTCTGTGGCTGGTTCTCTTCCAAATGAGCAGACATGAGGAGAATAGGCAACCTGACCTGGGAGGGAACAAACCTACCAGGATCAGGCTCCGGGTGCTATGACCCACACCGCTGATCCTCCTAGCGGCGGAAGGGCTGCGCCAAAGGCCAGCGGGGCATCGTGTTGGTGCTGAAGCGTCGATGCCTCGTCAGTGCTGAAGAGGTGAAGAAATGGCCAGCGCAAGGAATGAGTCGGTAACATGTAGACTCATTGATTCTTGAAACCACCCAGGCCTGAAGAGGTTGCTCAATCAAAATAATTAGGATGGATTCGTAATGAATTCTAAGGGTCATGAGTCATACGTGTCTATACATTACTTGGTCTCTCAAGTTGGTTGAGTCACGGTGCTCGCCACAGGCAGGACGCCCCGCCAACCATTCAAAAGGAACGCCCGAAGGCAACACCAACACTATTGGTATTCGAAGGGACCAACAACGGTTCCACTCTCCCGAAGGCAAAAGGGCTGGTTGCAGTACAGAATCCTTGTCAAGAACTCTGACCAGCACACGAATGCACAGGAGGATGTCCTGATGTAGCCAATTGTCTTGGAATTTTGAGAAGCCTTGTGCTATACTGTCACTTCACAAGGTTATCCTCCTGCGATTGCGAGGTCAAGTCACCACAGCGCATACTGGACCTTGAAGCGCGGATCTCTGAGATCCTCCATGGCCAGCGGCTCTCAGCAGTCCAAGCGGTTGGGTGATCCGTTGCGAATTTGGGTCAACAAAAGGAGCCAACATGGAGCCCCTGCTGGTCGAAACATGGAACCCCAAACCCACTAGGTGTTTAGAGGAAAATGGTCGAAAGCACCGGTCAGTTCTCAGGTTCCATGTTAGTTTGCAGGGGGGTATTCAGATTCACCCACCACAGCTGCTCCCCAGTCCTTGTAGTAGCGCACCATGGCCGAAGAGTTCAGCATGCCCTGCCGGTTGGTCCAGAAGGAGTCACTTGAGCACCCAGTTGATGTCGAAATGGATGGATGAATGAAGGAGTTCCCTTGCAATATGTATCCACTTCCTTTACCCACTCATATTCACCAAACGGTTGATGCTTGACTCCACACCCAAGCTTCCGAAGCCGAGGATGGACCGGTCAGCTGGTCAATAACCAACGGTCTCATCAGCCTTGTACACAATCGTCTTTGGTGACAATGAGGCCACATACAGCTCATCATAGGAGAGGGTATCTTCCACGCGTTTTCGTGCGATGTACCTTGGTGGCTCACAAGTGCTACTGGTAGCGCACTGACAGCGAATGTCACCTTCTAGGGTGCGGCCAGTAGTTAAAGAACATCCTTTCTGCGCATTCAACGCCCAAGTCTGTTGGAGGCCACAAGAGGCCCTCGTTCTTGTATCTTGGTTTAGGTTTCAAAGCTTCTTGGGAGTGGCTGGCAGGGCCGGAAAGGAAAGTGATACCGGCCACGAATACCGTCCCTCAACTTCAGAAATTAAGTATTCTCATAGTCGATCATCTGGATGTTTGAACGTCAGCAATGGATGTGCAATTCTTTCGAATTTCCACATCGATCATCATGTATCTCATAGTGTCACGTCTGAAGGATGGCTTTCTTAGAGGGACCCACCCGTCCCTATATGTAATTCTCTCTTTTCGTACGGCAACAGTACTGTTGGATCGACCGGCTGAGGAATCTCTAGATCTGGGACCTCCTCAGAAATGGCATGGAATCTGCAGCGAAACCCATCATCGATCCTTGTTTTCAAACGCCCAGTCAACGTACCTGGTCCATATGTAAAGGAAAGACAATGCTCTCCACCCTTTAAAGATTGTCAATCATCACTGCCCCAGTGGCAGTAGATTTTCCATTTCAGAACCTTTTGCTTCAACGTGCGACACAAAGATCTGTTCCTCAGATCGTTGCGTGCCACGTGGCCGGCTTGGGCGGATCGAAACCGCTTTGGCGGCCAAAGAGGGCCCCATTGAGAGGGAAGCGGAAGGAGACTGGAAGCTGATTTGCTTCGGGAATTTCTTCAGCGTGTTGCATGTACCATGCAGTGTTTCGAAAGTGAAGTCCTGTTTGTCTAAGAAGTTTTTAATGCCAGCATACGCATACAATGGTTGAACTCACACATGAGATGTACGTAGGTGATTGTAGCTAGGCAAAACGATACTAGTTACTGGGCTCTCAAAGTGATTCGTCACATCCAAACCCTCCGTGAGTTAGTTCAAGGTCCTGTTGGGTCTGTTTGCGCCTGCTCTATGCCAAACTTAAACCCACAAGTTTGAGATTCGGGACCCTCTAGGGCCTAGGGCCGGGAGAAATTCTCGGGGATTCTCTGGCAAAGTTGCGGCGTTCAAACTGGATGCCCCAAAGAAAACATAACCTCAACCCACAGCTCTCCGCCTATCTCCGCCTCTGCAACTCCAGGAGCCATCCAGGGCTCCGTTTGCTTTGAGCGCGGGCCTCAGCTTGCCCATGGTTGCCCGTGACCACACACAAAGAGCGCAAGGAGACAGTCGTTGGTGGGTGTGTGTTGAAAATAGGAGGACCTCCCAGGGTCCCAACGACCCCCTGCAAGAAGGGAAATTGATCAGTCTACCCTTTGGGCCAAGAAATTCTCCATGGTCTCCCCATTCACATGATTGAAACCCATAGTCCCATAGTTGTTCTGTGGGGTGCTCCTGTCTTCTTTGAAGATCGGTCGAAGGTCCTCATCATTTCCACCGCTTCCGCCCCCCACAACCGTCCAAGAGTCCGACAGGAATGGAAGAAGGTCGAGGTGGAAAAGGCACGAAAGGAAAACGATAGTCTCGGCAGTGATCGGGGAGCCGTCGCTCCGGCTCCTCCCTGTATCTCCTACACAGGTGCCGGTCCCACCAGTACCAGCAGCACCAGTACCACAGGTGGTGCCAGCCAGGTCTTTCAGAGCCACAGTGGAATCAACTTCTTCAGGCTCTGAACCACCACGAGGACCTCAACCGATATCACAACTGAAGAAGTTGATATCACAACTGACGGAGGACCTCAACCACCAAGAGGCCCAGCACGGTCGAATCCACTGAAACGATGCGATAGCCGAGGATTTCGAAGCCTTCCTGCGGATGTGACCGTGTGGATGTGAGGGTTTCTGCACGCCCCGTGGCGAAGAAGAATGGCCAGGCTTGCACCCAAAAGCATGTTGAATCCTTTGAGCGGGCTTGGGAGGGGGTGTTGGAGCTGCACCTGGGTGGTGAACAGGCCAATGGCGCCCATGCGAAGGATTTTGTTCAGCACATTAGGCAGATCTGCAGACCCTGACAGGCTGGAGTTTGGACATGCTGACATGCTGGTCTGGGAGTGACGGCATTTTGAGACTTACCCTTCCTCCGACAAACATGGAAGTGGACAAGGCGATCTTGGTACCTAGCACTTCCAATGGGTGTCCAATGGTGACCTATAAGCAGTGTCGGGTGGTCCATTGGTAACCCCTTGGAAATAGCTGGTAGGGAAAAGGTGTGTTTTCAAGGGCCCGTTGTCCACTTTTATGATTGCCCGAGGGGAGAGTAAAGTGGCAACGGGAGCCCGGCAAAGTGGCCCTTTCCAGGCAGCCAGGTTGGGGGGCTCGATGTGGTGCACAGTCATGGTCGCATGAAACACATCTCGAGGTGACAGGCAAATTGAACTCATCAAACCAGTCTCCCAGCTTTAGGACCTTCAGGCTCTCTCTCCAGCCCTTTCAAGAAAGTCTCCCGCCTGCAGAAGAGAAGTCTCCAACTTCATCTTGGCATCAATCCGCACGTCGCGGTCCTACAGAAGGCTGGTCAGCTCGTCCAAACAGGCTGCAGCTGGTCAGTGTGGCTCGAGCCCTCGCTCCAGTCAGCTACACCTCACCAAGTCAAGGAAGATCATCCAATCCAATATCATCCAGACCCTCCAGTCAGGGGGTGGACGTGGACGTGGACGCAAAGACGCAAACCCAAGCACCATCCGCCCAGTCCTTGGACAGGAAGAGCATACCAACAGCACAAGTGCTCCTTGGGTCATCCCCCAGGTCCCCGACTCTCTTGGAAGTCTTAAAAGTGGGCCACTTGAAATGGTCAATCTTGAGGATGACATCTTCAAACAACCTGACGGGTAACCAACGGCATCCTTAAAAGAACAGCGACTCAAACAGCGTGAACATCACAGCCGCCAAAGGTTTGAGAGAAGAAGACGGGGAGGCACTGGAGGTGTGGAGGGCCCATGAGGAACCCATCTGTAACCATTTGATCCCTTGTGACACCAGTACCATGCCATCCAGTCAGGTATCACCGGTATCGGTATAAGCTAAGGATCGCTTCCGAGAAGGGGAGACCTACTTCTTCCGTCGAGAGCACTCTGACAAGTGCACTCAGGCTCCATGTTTGAAGGGGGGTGGCATCACTCTTAGAAAGCGGCGTTCTTTCTATGTGTGATCTTTTTGCATCCTTCTGTGGGTGGCCCATGTCCCGCTCAGGGCTCACCGAGCTCGCTCGAGCTCGGTCGAGCTCGGTCGAGCTCGACGTTCGCGAGGTCAACAGGCCCATCTTCGGCCCAAAGAACTTGTCGTCTGGCAGATTCACATCTGCCGCGAAGAGCTCCCACCTCGGGATCGAGGCTCGAACCGATGCGAAAGGACGAGGCAAGGACCTGAAGACCGTCTGGCGGTTCCGAAGACCCAGGTGGCTGACTTGGAAGGGGACCAGACATATATACAAAGTCCGTGGAAAAGTAACCGCTATGCTGCTGCCATATGTTGATAGTTTGTGTCTCAGGTTGATGCACAAAATGATGTAATCCCATGGTGAACTTCATGAGAATCAGCTGCGTGGGCCACTGCGATCTTCAAACAATTTCTGGGTATACGATGAACGGCCCGAGGCCCTTTCGGTCAATCAACTCTTGAACTTCTCAGATGACATCCAACCAATGAAGTGTTAGGTCCAAGGTAGGACCAAGGTGAGACAGGTCCCGTGCTGCTTAGGTGAAAATGAGCACCCTATCCTCCAGCATCCAATAGCCTCAGCTCGCCAGCCCACTGTGGCTCACCTCTGAGCCTCTTGAGCCCAGCACCTCCCAGCACTGGGGCACCCCTCGCCCCGCGCTGGGGCCCCCAGGCGGGATCTGAGTCATCACTCCCGCTCCATCGCCGCTGTCGTCGCCACCACAGAGCCTCGAGATCTCGGCATGGAGAACGCGCAGCGGGCTGGGGAACGGGTGGTAGAAGAGGTTTTGCAATCCAATGGGTGGGTTTAGTATGGTTAATATTGGTTAATTAATCAAGTGTCGGTACTCGAGGCCATGAAAAAGCTGGCACGAAAAGGATGTGAACCCCCCTGAATTGTTAAGGTCTCTGCAAGGAGGGCTTCAAAGCCCGCTTCAGTATCATTCAGTATCCACACCTCAGTTCCAATCTCCAAATGTGATTTGGAAGAAACATGACTTTTGAAGACATCTCAAGTGGGCTCAGTCTATGGAGTTGAGAGGGGGTTGTGCCACCCACTCCGTTTCCTGCACGGGCTCTGTCTTCGGCCGGGCTGCAGGATGTTGCCTTAGATCGTTAAATCCATCAACCGAGAGCCGAGCCAGTCCGCTTGGGCACGGACTACATCTCTAGGCCTCTAGGCTCTGAAACAACCTATAGACTATAACGCTCCGTGCCGTGCCTCCAACGGGTCTTTTCATGTCTTTTCTCAACCGCCTCCCAAAAAAGATGACCTCGAAGTCTCCCAAAAGAAGGATTGAGCACCTTGGTTGGAGTGAGTGAGTGGGTCAAATTTTGAGTCGTCTCTTATAGTGGATAAGAGATGATAAGAGTATATAGATGGCACAGACTCCAATGTCGATGGTTTCTATGAACCCCCCATGTGTCTAGGACATCTTGAGGTCCGTGCCATTTCTCACCTCTGAAACCACTGGTACTTCCTGATTGGGCACTCTCAACATGTCCCCTCACCCCACGACTCGCCGAACACGGTGTCCACCGTGGCGTGCAGTGGTGGCGTGCACCGCTGGCGTGGGGCGGTTCCAGGCCAAAAGCATTCCCAGTGGGTCGAGAGGGTCGATGGCAGTTACCCCACTCGTCTTCTGGTTGATATGAAGCGCCTCATCCAAAAGACATCTTGGGGGTTGTGCCATCGAACCTTCTTGAAACATCGACACATAATAGAAACCACCTGGCAGCTTTGTTCGTAGGACATGCAGGGCATGCCACGGCCTTCCAACACAGAGGCAAGGCAGCTCGGTACCATGAAGAAGAATGACATGGACATGGAACAAGTGTCATAACACAATTAGTACCTGTTGATGAATACCTTCACCTGGTCCACCCGTGGGGTGGAGTTCGTTCTTCCACCAAAGACTGAAACCAGTTCGTCCTCCAAAGCCTAATTAAGCTGACCAGCATTGACCTGGTGTGATGTCCAGACCCTTCACCTGGTCCGGCCGTTGCTTTGTGAGACCAGCCCGGCACATGGTGGACCGACGGCTCCAAATGACATGAGATAAAAGCATGGAACACCCTTTTACAAGGGGGTGGTTGGAGGCACGGTCAACAGGATACCCCCAGTTTTGGGCGAGAAAACCGTCAGTTCCTTATGTTTCATGTAGATGTTCCTTAAAACTGAGCTCATATTGAGCTTTGTCCATCCGTAGAGCTCACATTTTTCCCACGAGTATTCACTCATGATCACGCACTGAAGCTTGAGGCCGCCAGCATTTGCTGAGAGCAGCTTTCAAGCTGACTCTTCTGCACAGGCATTTGGTTCCTTGCTAGGCCCCTCGGCTCCTTGCACTGGTATCAAGCATGTGTCGGCCAATGTATACAAAAATAAACACACGTCTAGTTGTATCAACTGATGTCACAAAAAATTGGTCTATCCTGTGCTCGAGATGAGATCTGTTGCCACTCAACTCGACCAATATCTCACTATTAACCCCACCAACGATTCGATAGATTTCGATAGTAGAAAGGTTTATATAAGAGGAGGGCCCTGGAAAGGATCACACAAAATTCAACAAATGCCCATTGACAGACCCCACCGTGGAGTTCCAGGGAGCTTCGAGATGGTGCCTTGCCAATGCTACCACATCAAGAGTAAGATTCTTGGCAGGTGGGCCCGTGTGACACTTTGACGAGCGCCTCTTCCTGCCGGACCTGTTGAAGGACCCCCTTGTCAGGACTTGCGTTCCGGAACGGAATGTCTTTTTCTAAGTATTTTCGCATATTGGTCTCAATTGAACACCCAAGTCCTGATGGGAGTCAATTTCAAGGGCTCACGCCGCAAACTGATGCCTGAGCGTCGCACCTCATCGTGCCATCACTGACTTCTTCAGTTTCCCTGGAAAACCAAGATTAAGCTTCTCCGACCTGTTCCGGGGTACTGTGGAAACCACTCCCCAAATAAGGTTTAAAATCCACTGACTGGGTATGATCAGGATTCTACCGTCCTCCAAGAAAAACACACTCGTAAGGACCCACTCGGTCGATGAAGTTCTACGCCATTTCATCATACTATCAAACCCTGAGGGTTGCCATGTAGCAGGACTCCATCGAACTCCCAAATCCTTTTGGATTTCACGGACCGCCTGGTTTCGGGCCGGGGTTCGACCCTCAGAACTCCGCGAAACCGTCGTCAGCCGTCCGTCGCCCTCGACTCGGTGTCACCAGACGCTCCAGCAGCGCCTGGGGCGGTCAGTGCCGTGCAGGCGATGTGATGGTTCCGTGAAAAGGTGGGGAGTGGAAGGGTTCAGGGAGCATGGGAACATCAGCATGTTCCAGCATTGGAGGGGAGAAATTCTCCTACCATGGCAACATGTGCAGCTTAAGAGTTTCCGTCACACTGCGAACCTTGCCTGAAGTGCTAGCTCCAGCATCTGCCTTGGCGTTCTGGCAGGAAGCACTTTCCGAAGGGCGCTGGCGCGGCATGAACTCCTGATCCCAACAGCGGTCAGACTGGCCACTGCTTGCAACAAATACGTCCACCTCGTGATGTTTATACCCTTCGAGGACACTGGTCCTCAGTCCTCATATGAGAGTTGCACCTGAGCTTCCTATCAAAACTGCAGTTGCTCTCCCCAGTCCCTCCAAGACAAACAAACTCCTAACGATCCAGCTGGTAGATGAAGTCATCTGTCAAACCCTGAGGTAGGTTGCCCAGCCAGGAATTGTGACAGTCTACAACTGAACATCCCAAGTTCATCCATCTTAGAGAACTTTACAGTGCTTTCAGAGTAGATTTCACAATCCCGAAGATGGATGGAGGTCCTCTTGCCGATTGTGCCATCTAAGCTGAAGCCACTGTACACATTCTTGTTTCGATGGCCCAGGTGGGCCTGGGCCTCGCTCCCCTAGAACAAGGGAGCATATCTAGGACATAGGCAAGTGGAAGATCGTGCGAAAAACTTGCTCCCTCAGTGTGACCTCATTGGTACTTATCCAGGTTGATAGGGATTTCATAGGCATGATATGGCATATGATATGGCATAATGGTGTCCACATGCATGAAGCCATGAAGTGTGCTCGTGTGTTTTTAGATGCTTGCCCATGACTGCTCCCCTTTTCTCACAAACCAGTCACCTGCCCAATGGGCACCCCGCTGTGCCTCGGAGGAGGCCGTGGTCGAGGCCATGGTCATGATCGAATCATCGACATCTGAGGCGTCCCATTGCGCTCCTGCCGCTGGGGTACGGAGATGGGGAAGGTGAAAATAGAGTCATGGAAGACATTGGATCACTGATTCACTGATTCATGCCCGGTCCTACCGTGACCAATCCACCAGAATCACTTATAGCGATGGCGATGGCTCACTGAAAAACAGGGTGTGGACCCTAGCCAGGTGTAGAGCAAGCTAAACACGGATCAACGCATCTAAATTCTAGTGCAAAGCAAGTAAAACAAAGGCGGGTGAAATCCTGAAAAGTAGGAACTTCCTCCACCACTCAGTTTCAATGAGCCGATCTTTGACTCGATCTTTGACTCACATGTGTGAGCGATAGTGTTTCAAAGGCTGGTTGTTCAGGCATAGGCTGTGACAACCTTTCAACGGCTTGCCGTGTTGCGTCCATGGCTGTGTTGAACCATGTTGAACCTTCATTCAGTAGCCATCTGAGAATTTGACAACCATATTGCAGCACACCTGCAAACTTGGTCAGTAGAGAAAAATGGGAAAAGTGATATACTCTTGTGATTGTGAGGTATTCTATAAAAGGCAGCTGTGTTCATCTGCCAGGCTACCTTCGTGCCCCAAAACATCCCAAAAGGACGCTGTGGAACCGCTCGCTGTTGAACCAAACAGTCGCAACCGAAGGACGAATCATCGGCACATGGCAGCATCGGGGGCAACAACTTACACCGTAGTTGCACCAAAAATATCTTTCTGTATCGAATACGCATATGATTGCATAGGTATACATACCCGAGAAGGGAGGAACGAAAGGCAGAAACCAGAACCAGCAGCCTCGTCCGGCTTTGGGTCCGGAGCCCGGAACTTGCCCACTTACACGTTCGTAACGAACTTCAGCCTAGCCTATAGGCTGGCTTTCGCGAACATATATACATATATATATATATATCACAGCTTAAACGCGCCTTTTAAAGGCCACAGCAAGGCTAAA